AGGCTGGTGTGCTTCTTCCATGTGGGTTTTGTTGCTTCTGAGCTAGATGGATGCTTGTTTACCTTCAAGCCTTTAAGACCCCAGACGCTACACCTTTTGATAGCCGGGCACCATCAGCTTTCTTCACCACATTTGTTTATTTGCCCACTTTGTCTTCAGTGGTTGTGTCGGGAAGGTGAGCATCATAGAATGCCAATTTAATACTGGCAACCCAATGAGTACTTGGGTTGTGACTCTTTATGGAAGTAGAAAGCCCCCTCTTTCTCCTGAGGACTGGTTGCCTAGCAGCCTGACACCTAATCCCACCCCACCAGGGCTCCTGGTGTCTAAAACAAAGAACATTTTGGTTTATGAACTGGATAACATTAAAAAAAATAAAATAAAACACTGGATTGTGTTCGTTAAGATGCTCCAACATCCAGAAAGTTCAAATGAATGAGAACTTTAATCATTAGACTAGAAAGATCTGTGGAATATTCTGGTAGAGGATAAAGAATTCAGATTTTCAGTTTGACAATAAGAAAATTTACATGCAAAATATGTTAGCTTGTGTCTGGTATATTTTTTGGAGAACAAGTGGTTAACTAGAGGAAAAATGTGTCCTAGGAAGTCCAAAAACTTTAAATAGGCTAGCATACTCAATTTGAATTATGCTTGGTAAAGTAGAGGGGCAGGAAGATAAGAAGGACCAACTGACAGAATGGAAGGCACCGTGGCCGCCACAATGGGCTCAGACATCACAACCATTGTGGGGACGGCAAAGGACCCCGGTGGTGTTTGTTCTGTTGTACATACATAGGATCACTATCAGTGGTGGGATTCAGCCGGTTCACCCTGGTTCAGCAGAACTGATATGCATTTTGTTGTTGTTGAGTTTGGTGAACTGGTTGCTACCTTGGCACTTGAACTCAGGGGTCTCTCTAAGGTGGTGGCTGCCCAACATTTGGATGCTCCAGGGAAATCACAGATTTACATGCCTCACTCTTTTAAATGCTCATCGGTGCAACAGGATTTTTCTTCTAAGCACCTATAGTAATGTAGGCATGAACTAATCTATTTTGCATGTAAATTTGCCGATTATCAAATCAAAAGCCCAAGGAGCAGCTGACCTAACAGCCTAATGCATCCATAGGTATAAAACATTAAACAGACTTATGCTTATAATGTTTATTATTCATTTCATAAAACCCGTTATTCTTTTCCTGAAGTACTACATGTTTACTCCCTGGAGTTTCTTACTTCAGTAAACAAACAAGAACATAAGGAGGAAAGGTGCCAGGCAACCAGAGGATGGCACCCTTGTCCTTCGTTCCGTGACATTATGAGTGAATGATGCAATTCCTGAAAGTGTTCAAAGAGCCAAAAGCATTGTCAGAACAACTGATGGAAGCTCAACAGAAGTGGAAAGGCGTTTTAAAAAGATGCACATAATATGCTCAGAGAAGAGAAGCTGCCTAACTGTTTCTGATACAGCAAACACAATGACTGTGGTCTAACTGGCCTACCTCTACAGGAAGGGGATCCCATCCTACAGTGAAAAGATGGTTCAGGATAAATCACACAGCTGATGATGTTCGAAAAAAAGAGAATATTGCCACTGAGGGCGCCAACCAAGAAGTGATATCTTAAATAGCAGTTTTACTGGGTTTTGTCGGACATTATTTAATACTTTTGCATTAATATTTTAAAACTCTTTCTTATAGTACAGTCTAGTTGTGTGCACCTCTTTCATTGTTCTTATTGAATAGTAGCACTCTGAGGTAATAAGCTACCTTTCAGTATGTCATTTCTTTTTATTTAACACTTAAAGCTGCCAACAGGTCAGTGATCTGGTTGTTAAATTACTTGAATCCCGCCGCTGGTTGCTATGCCTCAGGACTGCCTTGGCAGCACTCAACAACAAAAACATAATAGAAGTACCTTAATGATGCCTTCTTACATCTAGCAACAAATACGGTCACCAAAGCAGATCATTTTAAATTACACATTTGGACGTAGCACTTACGTTCTTCCGAGGGTCTCTTGAAAAATCCATAAAACACAAACCAAAGTTGTACTCATGGGAGACTAAAGCACATGGCCTGTACATCCCACATGCTACAACTGCCTGCTTCCAATTCCACCAAGGCACCCTCTTTCTTAGGCGTGCACGGATCAAGTTGCTTCCCTTTCCTTGAAACGGAAAGTTAGCACAGGCTCCATCTTGACATGAAACACCCCCATCGAGGCTCTAGCCTCTCTTTGCCCATTATACTCACCCTTGGGCGTGTCCCTGAGCTGATTCCTTTGAAGAATTAGCACCTTCAGCAGTGGAAGGATCCTTCTGCTCCTCCGATGCTTCCCCCATGAGGACTTCAGACTCGGCAGATCCAAGGAAAAGACGCGGATGGCACTGTTGCTGAGATTTAAGATTTCCAAACCATGTATGTGTGCCAGAGCGCTTAAGGCGATTTTCGGTATGAGATTGTTGCTGAGGTCCAGTTGCCTGATGCTCCAGGGTCCTCGTTTCACAGTAGGCTCGCAGAGAAGCCTAAAGACGTTGAGACTCACATCCCCCATAACTGATGTCTGTGATGACGCCACCTGCTGGTCGGTGATCAAGCCACTGGGAAGCGAGCTAGCGGGATCATTCCGACAACTATTTGTCAGATCTCCATTCCGTGGGCGCTCAGAATGGAACAACATCCCGCCTTGTTCAGGGGTGATTGCCACAGTTCCAGGAAAATAAAAACCCATGATCAGGACGATGGCTCTGAAGTCCAGGTCTCTCATAATGCCTGCGGGGCGGGGAAGAAAACAATTCAGCAGATCCAAAATGACTTGGAGAAAAAGCAATAGTCCACAAGGAGCTCGCGACTTTTCCATTTCAGGTTTAGGCAAATAGCCAATTGCTGCTCTAAGTGGATGGGGGGCATGTTACAAGTTGCTGCATTCAAAGGTAGCCACGAGAAATGTATAAAATCACATGTAGGTCACATTTTAGAGAGAGCATTTCCATGATTTTCCAGAAAATACTTACAGACTTAGGTCCCGCCTCTGTGTCTGTCTGCTTTCCCAATGATCGGTCACCCAGCAGTCAGCTTCGGAATGAAGCGTCACTCCCCAGATTAAAGAATTCTGTGCTTCATTGCTGTTCATTTGTACCGAGCAAAGTCCATGGCGCTTATCTGCAACCCTGTAATCAGCGATATGGTTTATTGCATGAATGATATGCCATTGTTAAAGTCAATGGTGAATTTCCCTTACTACATGAGTGTAAAGTTCAACTCTTAAGAGAGACTGTTTTTTTTCTTCCTTCTTTTAATGACCAGAAGAACTCCCAAGTTTCGTTATTGTTCTGTGGCTTTTATGACTTTGCAAATCATTTTGAGCGATTCAGGTCTACACACACCCATCAATGGACTCGAAGAAGCAGGTTCAGCCTCAGAACCAGAGACATAAGAAGATCAGGAACCAGCAAGTGTCTCTTGGTCAAACTTCTTGAGAGGGCACTGGAAGTCTCCCAGCCAGTGTCTGCCATGAAACCGGCTGCGTGTTTGCCCAAAGACAATGGGAAAGAGATAGGAAAGGATTCCCTTTGGGAATTTCAGGGAGTGAAATTTTGCTTTTCATAAAACGAAACGCCACTTAAAAACCAGGTCCTGGGTGCACAAGTGATCCCATCATCCTGTAAGGAATGTTTGTTTGCCACAAACTATCCTTTCTTTTCTGTTCCGGGGGTGACCTTCCTAGTTCTCCTCACTAGACTGAAATACCAGGATGGCGTAGCCCATCACCCTACGTCTGCCTCTTCCCTTCCCTTCTTCTTAATCCATCCTGCGTTAAGTGATCCTTAAGGACCATTTTCCCACAAGACTGTTTTCATTATCATTTGTTCCCTCCTTAAAACATCTCAAAGAGTTCCTTATTGCCTTTCAAATCTCAAAAATCCCTCAAGTTGATGTCCCAGGCTTCGCATGATCGGGTTAGTTTTATTGAGATGATACATGTGTGCAGAATAACTGCAAGGTGTGCGCAACGAAGTTATACGTGTTTATCTCAAGCCACAGTGAGCCTTTTTAGTCCACTCTCAATGCCAAGTTCCAAGCCTCTTCCTCGTTTCAGTCCAAATCCCTACCCATCCTTCCCGGTCCATTGAACATCCTCTGAGCTCAAGACCTTCTCACCGCTCTCCTGTCTGGTTGTCTTTGTTGTGGGGGACTGTGAGGCCATTCCGACGAGTGGCAACCCGTGTACAACAGCACGACACACTGCCCGTTCCTGTGGCTCACAGTTGGGGTGTTCGAGGCCAGGGTCGCAGCCGCTGTCAATCCACGGCCTTTCCTCTTTTTCACTGCCTTCCACGCTACCAAGTGTGATGTCTTTTTCTAGGGACTGATCTTTTTTCATGAAAGTAAGTCCAAAGCACGTGAGTCTTACCACCCCAGCTTATAGAAAGCATTCTGGCTGTACTTCTCCAGAGACAGACGTGTTGGTTCTTTTGGCCGTCCATGGTACCTGCAAGATTCTTCACCAGCACCATAGTTCAAATGCATTGAGTTTTCTTCAGTCTGCCTTATTCAATGTCCAACTTTCATAGGCAGATGGCTTGTCATTGTTTCAGACTTACAGTGACCCTCCAAGACAGAGCACTGCCCACGTGGGTTTCCGAGACTGTAACCCTTGATGGGGGTAGAAAGTCTCATCTTTTTTCTCTCAGAGGGGCTGGTCATTTCAAACTGCTGGCCTTGCAGTTAGCCTCCCAACATGTAGCCACTACGACTTGGTTATGTGCCTACAAGGCAATTGAAAATGAAAAAGTTGTGTCTTTATTTTTCTGGAAATCCTCCAGGCAAGTCATTGAAGGTTGACTAGCAACCTAGTTTGACTGGGCACTAGCCCGCGCTGTCCGTTTTGAAGTCCCAATGAGACGAGAAGCTCTCGGAAGGTAAGGGCCCTGGGTTTCCATGCTTTCTCTTTCAATGCTCTGCCGTGGGTCACTGAGCTCTGCTTGTTGCAATGAATGCACGTACGGGGTAGATGAATTGTACTGTGTAACTTTGGTCGCATCGCAGGTCAATTCTGCCATAATTTGAAAGGCATTTAAACTCAGGTTCACGTGGGCATGAACTGCCAAGGTGCCCTACAACCTGGAGGAGTGGTTTATTTTTAGTGTACTTCCCATGCAATATTAGAAATGGAATGAACCTGTAATCAGAAAGGTACTCGTGTCTATATTCAAACTTGCAACCATTATACACATAGACACACACTCAGGCACCAAACTAATGTAAAATCACGCCCAAGACAGCCACATTGACACAGAGATGTGGTTGGAAAATGTTCTTTCTTAAGGGGGACCCTACGTTTCTCGTTGGCCTGCTTCTTTCTTATAATTGAGGAGATTTATACACCGGCTATGAAAGCATCGAGGCCAAAATAAGTCGCTTTAAAATCACCGCATGTCTGAAGTGGAAAGGCACTCATGTGTAAAAAGAAAATGAACCATTGAGCATATCTATGAGGTAATAAATCACTGATGCAAGTCCAGGAAACTAGAAAGATTTAAGCCAAATGAAACCACAAAGCGTCCACATTCAGGTGGAAATATATGAGAAGGTGGCTAGAAATACGAGGCGGGTGTAGAGCGAGAGGGGACGGGAAAGGGCCGTTGGGAACAAATGCAACCCATGAAGCCGGAAGCAGCAAGTTCATTCTCAGGCAAAAGGAAAAGAAAGAGGAGTCCACTCCCCCCCACCCTCGCCCCACACAATTAGGAAAAGAGCGAAAGAGGCTATTTTTGATGATGACTAACGATGCAGAAAGAACTGGCTAATAACCCAATTTCAAGGGCATACCTTCAGGTCCGCAGGTAGTTTTCAAAGGTCTGTATCTGGCTCAAGCCAGGTGGGGATTAGACCTGAGTCTTTGAGGCTCCACCCATCCACCCTGTCCTGTGACAAACCTTCACCCTTTCATGACCGGCTTGGGTGCCAAGCATCTGTGCCAGGTCCCTGTGGAGAGACTTCCCAAACCCCAGAGGGAGGGATAATCCAGCCTGGAGTCCTGCATTGTTCTATTTTCATTCCAGGATTCTGAGAAGTCTCCAGAAAGGGGCTTCAAAGTTTGTCAGAAACCTCCCTATTTGACAAGTCCATTTTCCCCATGAACGTTTTGCATAAACACCGCCCACGTCCCCCTCTCGTCATCTTTAAATTGGCCAGGTTTGCCCGATCCAGATCCAGTAGGAACCTGGTAACTCACTGAAAAAAGGCGCGGCAAGCAGTTTGGCAGGATCTTTATTTAAAACAGACATCATTAGTAGTTGTTACAAATGGGAATTAACAATCAAAAATTGGATGACAGGATTATTTTTGGTGAGCGTAATTTATAATCTGCGATCCACCGCCGCATCTCAGCATTTCCGGGGTTGTGTTCACCCTCGTAAAAACAAAAACACTAGGTAGAACGACTACTTTTCAGCATCACAACCATCACGCACACACGCTCAACTTCTTAGTAATGCAAACAGGTATCAATGTGTTGAAACACTACAGGCCATGCGCAGGCGGGTCCCACCCTGTGTTGTGACATTTTCTTGTCTGCTCACTAGCCACTCACTCTCTCCTGCATTCCTCCCCTTTGCCACCTTTGTCATTGCAGCCCAGCTCTGGCGTGTTGCAATGACAACAGGTGCCTATCTGCCACTCCTGGGATCCCGTCCTGCTCACCCCTTCCCCCAAGTCTTCGGCGCTCAGTGAAGGGGCATGGACAATGGGGTGTGGAGTTGACTCACTGCCACTGAGTAGATTCCACACTACGCTTGTGGGTTTCCAAGATGTCCATCTTTTTTCTCCTGCAGAACGGCTGGTGGCTTTTGAACTGCTGATCTTGGGGTTAGCAGCCCGACCCACAAACCCACAAGCCCCCTACACCACCAGGGCTCCTCTGGAAGAGCCAAAGTCGGGGGCTTCAGTTTTGAGAAAAGCACCACCTGGTGGCAGCAAGGGGTATCTGAAGCTTTACTGCTAGGCAAAAGTGGTTACAGGAAAAATGGATGGTTGGCTTGTGTCCTGCTGGCCAAGTTTTCCTGGACTGCATTTCAGTGAAAACACCAGGGCTGCCTGCGACGTGTTTTTAAGGTGCTACACCTGTTCCCGTAGTTATCATTTCTATAACGACAGGAACATATGCTTGCATGTCAAACAGACTTACAGTGACCCTCTAATGGACATGTACACCAAACCCAAGGACATGTTGAAGAGGAGCAAAAATACTCTCATGAATTACATGTGATAAATAATACATTCTAGCATGTTCTGTAGGTTTTGTAAAAATACTTATTTCAAGAACCTTTTAGAACAAATCTACACAGCACACACAAGTGATGAATGTGCAATAGAAAAATATACCAAGCTATCTAAATGAAAGTTCCAATGATTCTGAGTGTTTCAGGCGCGGAATGACACTGCACTTATTTAAGCGGGTTCTGACTGTCATTGCAGCTAGTAACGATCTGTAGTCATAAATCTCACACTTTCTTCCTTTTGTCTTTCCTCATTTAAGAATGACACTCAGTGTGAAGTGGGCAATCAATCCTTATTCTGGTAAATTTTAATGATGTCTTTATAGCTCCGAGGAACTTCGTTTTTCTGTCAGAGAGAACTAGAACAATATTGAATGCCAATAGTTTTAAGGATGTATTTTCTTTTCCTCACAGTTCAAAGTGACCGTGATAGAATACTGCTAGCCACCCGTACCTCATTTAGCGGCACATTTAGGTTCCAAACACCTGCTCATTATGCAAAAATTGCCACTACACAAATTGGCAGCTGGCCACTTCAGATCACAGAATGAAAGATGATTACTCCTTACATAACTGCCAAAGCACTTTGAATCATGGCCCAGACAAGTTGACATATAACCTTAACCAGCACAGCCAGTGTTATTCTCACCACCCACCTCAGTGTTTGCTACTGCCAGGTGTGTGGTGTTAATGCACGGAACAGTGGAGATGTATATATGTATATTTACCATTGCTGTCACTGTGAAATGCCAGATAATGAAACAGTTGGTAAGTGATCAGTGAGGAGTTCGTTCCCTGGACGCAGCGTGGGGCCCGTGATTTATTTCTGCTGCCATTTCAGGAGCCCTGATGGAGTAGTGGTTATGCGTGGGTCAGCATGGCCATCCGCGTGGTCAGCAGTTTGAAACTACCAGCGGCTCCGCGGGAGAAAGACTGGGCTTTCTTCTCCTGTAGACAGTTTTGGTCTCAGAAGCCCACAGGGAGGGCGCTCTGAGTCAGCATGGACTGAATGGCAGTGAGTTTGTTTAGGGCCCTTTCAGAGCAAACTACTTTAGGGTCCCTGTCGCCGATGCGGTGTGTGTGCTGATAGTAGTACCAGAGTTTCTTTCAAGTCAAACAAGAAATACATCGAAAAGTACTGGTGGGGAATTGTACATAATTACAGTGTGAAATTGATACTAAGAGCAGAGGTAAATTCCCATACTAAAAACCATCACGGAGACAGGTGTTATCACCTGTATTAGCACCAGTGCGTCCACAGCATGGCACACACTGAAAAAGCTCAACTTTGTATGGCACCAAAGAGTAAAGCTGGCAGGCTCTTCCTGGCCAGCAAGGCTCGCTCTGGGTGCCTGGCCTCTGGGATTCCCATTAATGGCACACACAGGTTGACATACCCATTACTCATTCAGGGAACTCCAGTATGCCCACACCCACCCGCTGGGGAGCGGAGGCCTCTCTATAGTAGAGCATGTTGGAACTGACTTAAGATCACATAACATCCGACAGTGATTGGTCACTCTGTGCCTGGCACGGGATTGGTTCATGTTCGCTTGAGTAAGCACACTTGTTTTGCTCTGTTCTTATCGGCTTAAGACAGTTTGATTTCATTTTTGTTCCTCTTTCTAGACCTTTAGATGATTAAAATCCAAAGTAGACTGTGAAAAGAACAATCTATCTGGAAGCAGGTACCCTCTGTTTGAATCCCGTCAGGATTCCAGGGAATTTCTCTGGTCCTCGGGTTTCGGATGGGTAGAATCGGCATACTAATAGTGAGCCTTGGATATTTATGCACCAGGTCTTGCCTAGGACAATGCCGGGGACGTTGAAGATGCTCAGCCCGTGGCAGCTCTTCTGATGATTATTTAAGAGTTAAAGGTGAGTTTGCGTTTCCATGTGGACCACAATGTAGGCACTCAATAGTTCATATTTCAAGTAAACAATCGATTAGCAGGGGTCCTCAAACTTTTTAAACAGGGGGCCAGTTCACTGTCCCTCAGACCGTTGGAGGGCCGGACTATAGTTTTAAAAAAAACTATGAACAAATTCCTATGCACACTGGATGAGTCGGCTACTAAGCAGGACAGGCAGCGGTGGCAAAAACACCCGGTGAGCCAGCCGGGTAAATGTCCTCGGCGGGCCGCATGTGCCCCAAGGGCCATAGTTTGAGGACCCCTGGATTAGAGTATCTTCTTCTTAGTGCAGAGCCAAGGAACCTGCTCCGTTTAACACCCTGCCTGTGTAGAGCTCTGTAGTGACTTTATTTGCGTGTGTAGGAGACTACAGCTCGAGGTTAATGCACTAAAAATGGGCCTTTCCTTAGAAGTCAAAAGACAGCCCGTAACACTTCTCGACAGCATGCCTAACATCCTAAGTGGGACCAGCCTCGTGAGAGTGGCCACGAGCGCACTTAACGAAGGCGAGTCTAAGCTGCGGCGCGGTCCTTGTCTCTCTTCAACAGAGACAGCGGCATTCTCAAAATCACCTCTTTAAAGGACGCATGGTCACTTTTGGACACCCTTCTCCTAATTACGTCTACCGAAAACTTTGGCGCCACGTCCATTCTCTACTCACGGGGACCCTGCAGGACAGAGGCGACCTGCCCCCCGCCCCCCGGTTTTCCCTCCCAATACAGGCATCTTTCAGGGGCAGACAGTCTCACCTTTTTTGTTTGGCGGGGCGGGGGAGTCAGACCCTTGGCCTATTACTGCAATGTAAGAAATTGTGTTAGCATCGAAGCTGGGGGTGGTGGTGGTGGTGGTGCTGTGAACAGGGAGATTACACCACGGGTCCAGGAGTGTTCTGCAGATAAAACGATGACGGGGAGTTATCACAAACTCT